AAGCAAAAAATAAAGAAATAATAACTTTTGAAATTGACATATTGAATGTAAAAATTTTATGATATATATACTTCTTTATTAAATGTTAAATGCGTGCCATTGATCAAGAGATAAAGCAAGATTTATTAATTCTTAATTTTTCAATGTATATTTTATCTGGATATTCTGACGCATGTGTGTGTATATAATTTATTTTGTACATTTCATACAATTATTAAGTTCTTTAGTAATGTTTAAAAATCATTATTTTATGAGGTAAAAACATCAAATTATATTGCATATGAGATTAATAATATGAAAATCCGAAAATTCTTGTAATGAAAAATTCTGCTGAACATGAAAGAGATAAGCACGGGTTAAAACTAATTCACGGTGCAATAAAAGCAGAGAGGAGAGAAATATGAGGAACATTGAGGTAACGTTTCACGAGACAAACGAAAGGCGCGTCGAATTATGGATAGGCGAAAGGAACAACGAATGAGACATAGAGAGAGATAGAGGGAGGGAGAATGAGGAAGCGAGTCTGCGGCGTAAAATCCTCGCGAAGCCCTCGGATATCCGTCGGCTCCTTCACGGAATTTATTTTTAATGAAGTGGCGCTTTCGCACGCGCGCTGGTCCTCGCAAGATTTTCGGGAAACTTACCACGAATCCTCCGTGGCCACGGCAACGCTCCACCTCGAGTTATTCTCTGTCTCTATCCCTCCGACGTGAGAAGAAGAGCGAAATAAGGGTGGAAGGAGGAAGGTTAAGGAACAGGATAGGCAAGGAATACAACGGTGAACGCAAGAGTATAGCTCCGTGCCTTTCTCTCTTTTTTGGAAAGTCCCTCTCGAGGAATACAAGACAACGCGCGTGCACGACCAGGATAGTTTCGCGAGTTTCGAGAGGTCGTAGGTGTGCGATACGTCGGGAAACGGAGTCGGAGGGATGGTGGATAATATAATGATGGCGTCGGCTGGGCGAGGAGGGGCGGGGCTACGAGGGGATCAATATTATCCTCCTCCACCTCCGTTTCCTCGTCCATGCGTCTCTCTTTCGCTTTCTCTCTCTCTCTCTCTCTCTCTCTCTCTCTCTCTCTCTCTCTCTCTCTCTCTCTCTGTCTCTCCCTGTCTCTCTACACCCACGACTAACCTTCTCTCAGACTCCCCCTCGAAGTTCCCCTCTAGCGCGACCACCATCACCATCTCCACCCTACGAGAGAGAATGTCAGGTTCTCTCCCTACCGTCTCTCACAGCCTCCTCCTTTAGCTCGTCCTTCGGTTTCTCTCTCTCTCCTTCCTCCTTCATCTTGTAAAGGACGCGAACTCGCACGAATTCACGCGAACGTTTCGCACGAAATGAACGAGATCGTTAACCTAGACGCACAAAAACGTAAAGAAAATGCATGCTACGTCGGGAGATTTAAATTTTTGGTGTTTACATGTCGCGACGGTACTTGAAAATTTCTTACATTTTGTAACAAAAAAAAAAACCCAATTTTGTGCCAATGTGAAGTGAAAGAGTATCAGACTCTTATATCTACTAATTTGTGCGTAAATGTAACCAGGTCATCGATAAGACTTGACAATACAAATTTACGCATGATTTATTCGCATATAGATTTTGCGAATAATGCAAATTGCTTTCGACTCTAATATTCGCTATTCATCATAATTTTTATTCTAAAATATACGATGTATACATAAAAAGACAACCCTTCTGAAATTACTGATCTATTTACCAAAAAATATTTTGCAAAATTTAAAAGAGGCCGACAGTAACGATTTATACAAAGTTAATATTTATTTTATATAAATATACATTATTTCGCAAACTTGTGATATTAATCGAAAACGAACAATAGATATTTTAAGTTAATTTTATCAACAAATAGCAATTTCTAACTTTGGTTCGATTTAATTATAAATTCATTGTGGGTATATTTATAAAGAGCGTTATAAATTGGTACTATAAAAGGATGGTCCAGTTCGGTAGAATATCGTCTGGAAACTGTTCCGCTTAAATAGGCCTTACTCAAGAGTAGCCGAGCCCCGGTAAGACTCGGTTGTAAGACTCTCTTGACCGAGGAACTAACGGCGCGGCGTGGCGCGCAACTTCTGAGCGCAATGGAACAAATCGCGGTTACCCGGAGAGCCCGGAGCCCGATGTTAAGTCACGGGATTACCGCGGACGGGCCGGTGCGGTATTCGAGGGTGTCTATGTAGCACGTAGACCGGTAGACGTATGTGCGGCGCGGAAGACGACCATAGGAAAGAGCGACGCCGACGATGAAATGGGACAGAACAAGAGGGGACCGTACGGGGGGTGTGATTGATGAGGCATCCCCGGTCACGGTCTCATTACATTTATATAAGCTTTCGTAGATTGAGCCGAACGCGTGCGTGAGCGAGGAAGAAAGAAACCGAATGGAGGCTTACACGGTGGCGAGGGGTCGTGATTTGATGAGATTTTATTGCTCGAATGATGTGACGCGACCATTGTTCTCAGTCGCCAGGCGAAAAACAATGGATTCGATTTATCGCATCAACTGGGCTACAATATCGATGTTTTCAACGTTACTTGATGAAAATCGATCCGATGGGCTTTACATTTTTTAATTTATTAAAAATTACACAACTACAGTAAACATGCCATTTTGTGTGAACACAGATTTTATGTATCGTAGCTTGGTGCGTCAGTATTTTGTGAATATTCGTCAAATTGGATTGGAAATAGCTATTAATGAGATTAACATAATGTACTAATTAATTGTATCATAAATTATTATCGGAATGCGCGATGTGCCCGTTGGTATATTTATGTTTCAAGCGCGATTTCTCTCACGATTCACAGATCATTTGGTCAATACAGTTGGAATCCAGTTGGAGTCAAGCAATAGTTTTCACTCGAGTTCCGAGCGTATGTATGTACGTTCGACGGATTTACGAATCAAAAGCGTTAAGATTCTCCTGGGTCATTGCAGATAGCTTCAGTCAAGATTCCGCGACGCTGTTAAACTTTATGGGCGCGGCATCTTGTGTGTACACGCTGCGCCTTTGCACGAGAGAGAGTTTATTGATTCTCGAGTCGCGGCATCTTTCGCCCGCCGTACCATTCTGTCCTATCGAATTTACTCCCTCCTGGCTTACCGTCGTCGCCCATGGTGCCGCGGCTACCGGGCCGCTTCGTAAAATCCAATGATGTTTCTCGTGCGGCTTACCGATGCGAAAAAATTTCGCACCTACACGTTTATCTCCCGTGAGGGCAGATCAAAGGTAAGTCGTTCTTTATTGACAAAAACCGATAACATCGTATAAATACTGTAATAATGATAACAGGAATATAACGATAAATATTATTTTTTGAAAGAAATCGATGTAAAGCTATGCGTGTGAATTAGTGAGCTTTTATGTTAACCCTAATCGGTATTCGCAGGTCCCAAACATTTTTTTTCAATTACATTGTGAAAAACTGTTTATGATAAATATTTTTCATAATTTTACACAGGTTAATTTTATGTTCCTCGTATATAATCTTATACTCCTCGGATTTTAACCTTCAAAATGAAAAAAATTATTCAATTATATTAACTTTAAGCAAAGATACATTAATTTAAAGTACATTAAACCCGCGAATACCAATTAGGGTTAAAATTCCAATTTTCTTTTACACATCTATCCACCGTTATTGTCTCGTTAGGATTATTCCGTTAGGTTGTACAATGAAGGTTACTAGCAAATTTGGGCTGTTACGTGAAGTTTCAGGAATAATCGTTGAGAGGAAAGGACATTATTCTTCATTAGCTAGTCTTCCGCCCCCACTTTCAATGACCCGTCGCGCCTCTTAGCGTTTCCACGGCGTGATCGTAAGGCCATCCATCTTACGGAGTAGTCCACCGACCTGCTTCACCCTCAGTACCTTTCCCCCTTTTCTTCCCATCTTGCTCCTCCTCTCTACCAGCTACTCAACTCTCTCTCTCTCTCTCTCTTCGTCGAATACTTACACCACGATCCTTCGCGTATGTCGCGTTTTCCTTCCCCTTGCCTTACAGTTACGCGAGAGCGACGTGTATCTAAGCGCAACCACCCGTATAATTGTTGGGGGCGAGCAGGGACGGGCGTCGTTAAGAAAGAGAGGCGCTGAAGAGAGTCGGAGGACGCTGGTAGGTTCGAGGTTGAAGGGCGAGCGAAGGGATAAGGAGGGTGGAAACGGCTGACGAAGTTCACCGTAGTATCGAGCGTGAGAGAAGGGCCGCCTTGAATTAACGCCGTCATATTTCAGGATGGAGAAGCTCGCCGGGGTTTTCTTGCTATTTGTCTCAAGACTCACCTACCGTCTACCACAGAGTGAAACCGCCGCTCGTTGTTCTCTTCGTTGCGTTTGTGACTAATAACCCGTGGCGTGCGAACATTCACGAAATCTGGCAAGAAACGCTTACGCATTGCTGTGCCTTCCCTCCGTTTCCTTCTCTGTGTTTATTCTCAATGTACGAGCTGTGTACGTTAAAAACAAAATCTGGGAACGGAGGGTAGCATCTGTACATCATAAAAAAAATTATCTCTTTAAAATATTGGTTATGCTAAAAATAGAAAGGAAATATCGAAAAATATATATAATCGATATCTCTCTATTAAAGAACCCCGCACTAATTATACGAAAAATTAGATCCCGATGAAATTAATCAATTTTCATATATAATGTAGCTTACAAGGAACAAAAGATGTCATAGACACAAGGTTCAATAATGGATAGTTTTTGAACTATGGTATATTAAAGGTGTAAATCAATTGTGTTCACAGAGCATCTTTAATCCGAAAATCATCCATTATTGAGCCTTGTGTCTATATCTTTTCTTCATCACACTATGTGCAAGCTACATTATGTATGAAAATTAACTCAATCATTTTACCGGGACACAAATTTCCTTATAATTGCGAGGTCCTTTCTCTCAAATAACATTCTACACATTATAATGAACAGACATATTTTTCTCGCAACGTTCTGTTTATCTGTTTGCAGGTCTGGTTCAAGAACAGGCGGGCGAAATGGCGGAAGAAAGAGCGTAACGCGATGAACGCCGCTGCGCAGGCCGCAGCGGATTTCAAGTCGGGCTTCAGTACAGCCAGTCTGAACGGCTTCATCACCCAACCGTTCCCGGATCCCGACACTCTCTACAGCTCATATAGCACGTACAACAACTGGGCGGCCAAAGTACCATCGCCGTTGAGCGGCAAGAGCTTTCCCTGGATGAACACTCTGGGCTCAGTTGTGCCTGCGGCATCGCATCATCATCATCACGCTCAGGTCAGCCCAGTGAATCCCTTTAACGCCGCAGCGACGTCGGTCGCAGGCAGCCACGTGGGTGGCATGTCAGTTTCGGTCGGTCAAGCGGCCACGTCCATGTTACCGGGCATGGGTTCTGGTCTCGGTGTCGCGAGCTCGCCGGTCGCCGCGTCCGGCGCGGCGTGTCCGTACGCGGCGCCGGCGGCACCGCATCATCCATATGGACCGCCGGTTTACACGCCTCATCATCGATCGCCCGAATCCTGTACAGTGATGACATCGAGTAGCATCGCGTCGCTACGAATGAAGGCGAAACAGCATAGCAGTGGTTATGGCGGCGGTGGTGGCGGGTCATTCGGCGCAGGCGGTACCACGGGCGGTACCACAGCCGGAAGTATAAGTCCCGTAAGTTCGAGAGCGTCTTCCGTCGGCGG